ATTATTATCAGATTTGCCTGCATGTCAATTAAGTCTACCTGGCACCGCGATATTAAAGTCGAAATGAAAATTCTCAAAATCAATATTTAAATAATAATAAATTATGACAAACATTATTAAAGTCGATCGCAGTAAAATGTCATTCGCTGCTTAATTTAAATTTTTACAGTAATATGTATAATAATAATAATAATAATATTCATAAAATAATATAGGTACCTACTATTACCACGGTCATATGTAATAATAACATACATAATACATTTATTGTTATAATACATATCAATAGTAAAAATGTGTGTACCTAGCTAATATACTAGTCATTAATGTAGTACCTAGGTAATATACTTCAATAATTATTATTATTAGAATTAATAGCATAATTGGTAAAAAATTTCGGACTTTTACTAACTCTGATTTTTATCCTAAGATTTATAAAATCTCGTTTGTAAAAGTCTGACTGCAAAAATCATCCGGAGTTCGACAAAATGTCTTGTGTTTCCTAGATTTTACTAAAATCAATTGGTAAATGTTCAAATTTCAGASATTTATCAACAGTAGTCGGCAAAACCTAGGATTTAACGCTAAATCCTAGGTTTAACCGGTATTCGTACTTTTACCGTAACATATACCTATATTTTAWAACAAAATAGTGTAAACACATATACTTCACAGTTATTATTTAAAAATGGTATTAATTTTTACTAATAGGTAATCATTTAATACGTTTTAATCTTATGAATTGAGTATAATATATGTATTTATACATTTATATATTTTCTTAGCATTTTTTCCATTTAAAATTATTATTAATTCAAGTTTCCAACTTAAACAACACGTGTGGACAACAACTATGACGCATTCACTGAGTTGGTAAGTATAATGTTGTGTGGCATAAAAGACATAGAACTTAGATATTTCTAAAATCTATAAAGTTWATTTTTACTACAATTAAGATTATTTTCAAGGCTTAAAGTTAAACCAATGTTGTTATAAATAAAATAAAGTAAAAATATTGATCAGACTTATCTACAATACAGGCTTCAAGACAAATTTATGTTTACTAGTTTCATAAATTTCTATAAGTACATTATGTAACTGGGTAYATGTAAATTGGGTTAAGTTGAGGTTTATTTCCACTTAATTTATTTATTAAGTTCAAAGTTGTTACTTACGAATGCATAGTGTTATACCAAACATGTCAAAATAATCAGGACTCCAATTAATATCAGTAACAATTAATTTTTTTTCTTTTTCGTATATCATTGTCCACATTAACAATAAGGTACCTTCTCCTCTGTCCCTGAATTGATCTGAGGGGTCTTCATAATATCGAAAATCTGGTCATAAATTTACAATGTAATAAATATGGGATTAACATTATAATTAATATACAGTAAGGTTTCTAAAAAATAAAATTTCTTCTTCTACCTTGTGCTATRGAATCCGTAGCATTTAAGCTGATGATTTTTTCAAGAATCTTAGAAACTTTTAACAATTCATACGTAATTTCGTCTTGTTCAATAAGTATTTTTTTACGAGGTTTATTTTTTCTCTTTCCCATATGTGCGGCCAGTTTCTCTTTCATTTCTTTTTCCTTTTCTTCAATTTGTATTGCATAGTCAACTTCGTAAATGTCATATATACCAGAAAGTGAAACAGACGCACCAAAATCAAACTTCTTAGTTATCGGGGTTTGAGTATCTTTATTCTATAGTTTACAAGAGTTAAACGTTGTAAATAATATAGCGTACAATTGTAGCTGATCTAAAGTATATCATATTGCCTAATCTTACCCTCACGATAATTTTTTTAGTTTGAGAAACTCTGTCAAAAAAGTTAAATTTGTTTTTAAGTTTCACCACAGTACACAATTTCGTTACTGGCAAGCTTAAAAAGGACTCATCAGATACTTTTTTTGATACGTGTGATTCTACTTCTTCCTCAAGTTCATTTTTGAGATTTGTCGATACACTCTCAACTTCACCTTCCATCTCCAAGTTTTCATCCACCAACTCTTCGTTAACGTCTTCAACAGACCCTGATTCTTCAATGTTTACGTCTAATTTTAACGGTTCAATATATTCTTCTTCTTCGCCTTCTTCYGCAATATATTCACCCATTAATTCATTATTATCTTTACCTAAATTTTCTGGTTTTCCTGTAAAACAAAAAATAGGGGTTATAAAATAATTAATATATTCATAAGTTTGTATTAACTGTCTTACTGCATAACTCATTTTCAATTTGTATAATGGCATTCATCGATTCAAAATGATATAACGTAGTTTTCAACTCGAAAAGTTTTATTCTATTAGTGATTTCTTTCTTTGGTAAAAACATTTTTTTTTTATTGCTATAAATTACTTTAGCATGCGGTGTTGGTGGTTCTTTAACAAAAAGAGCATTACCATAAACTTCATCTAATTCCTACAACATATACATTTATTATTGTATTGTTATAAAAGTTATTAATTATATAGATAACATGTCTTAGTATACTAGTTTTGGGAAAATGACTCTATTAGGTAAGTAGATTCTTCGATATCATTTAATTTAGGTATCAGAAAATCTTTTCTATATTATTATATATTAACCACAAAATAGCATTAATTTTTTATTCAAATGATATCCTTTTTTTTTTTGAAAAGTGCAAAATCATTTTTTTGAACAGTTACATGAATATTTGTATGTTTGACTCAATTTTGTCATTTAATATATCTTTAAACTGGTCAAACTCCATAATTTCTTATTAATTAATAACTAACTAATATAATTAATATAATCATTCAAATATTTTATTTTACTTCTTGATTTAAAATTAACTGATCGTCAGGTTTAACCGGATCATCAGAAGATACAATTTTCACAATTTCTTTTGCTTTTTTCTTCGAAGATTTCATTTTTTTTTTTTTTTGTACTAGGGCCAGTGAATATTAATTTTCGAGTTTAATATTACATATTAAGCTTTACTAATTAAATATCAATAATTGAAATACAGCAAATTGTCTTAGTAACTAATTGCATTGGTATGTACAAAATATACTTTCCACAGTGTTGGCAACCCGATTATAACAAATTTGTATTCATTYTGTTTCAGTTATGAATTATGATACTGACCAACCTAATGTGTTATTCTAAAGTATGTAGCAACAAACCTATCTTGTATTTTATACCTAAGCTCACAAGTTACAACCTACCTATAGTTACAAGAAACTTCTCGTGTAATATAAATGAACATTGTTATATTTGAATTCCGATTAATAAAATTTTTAAGTACCTATAACTAAAGTTAAATATTAGAGACTACATTTTAAAGTCGTTGATATTTATTTTAGAATTATTTTACTACTTAAGTCTTAAAAAAAGTTCAGTTGTTATAAAAACTTCTATTTTTGAAATGAGTAGCCCTATTTTTTACTTCACATTATTTAGGGAATAATATTCTTGAAAGTTTAATAAATCCWAATCAATATTCTAATGAGTAGTTTCTAAATCATTAAAATATTAATACAAAGGATAAAATCCTTAAAAACTGTTTTACAAAAATAAAAGCTTTATATTAATAGATCAATATTTATTTCATACTACAATCATCTAAGGCCCCATATCTATTTTAAAACTGTCGTTCGAACTTTGATTTAGATGCATCAAAATTCTCAACAAAATATCTCCTGAATAATAAAAAATTAAAAAGGGGGGCTGCTTGAACATGACAAATTAGATGTTTTTATTATTGTCATGCTCTTAAGTTCAAGCAATCTTGATCAATAGCTACATTCTTTTAAATAGTTGTTCGTCCATATGACTATATGAACCATAATAAAAGACACCCCAAAAGCTTCAATTTGTTGACAATAACTTACACTATTTTTAAACAAAAATAAAAATTGTATTTAAAATAAAAATTTCATTACAAGGYGTATCATTAATCATTATAATGATTGCCAGTGGCGGCTCGTGCTATAGGGCACACGGGCACGTGCCCCACCTAAAAAATTGAGAAGAAAGAAGAAAAATGGATATTAAATTATTAAAATTAAAATTGAATCAGTATTTCTTCCATCATAATATAAGTTGGTACTTGGTATTCGGTATATTATCGAAAAAAATGTTTTATTAAATACAGGTGCTCCTAGATACGATACGTGCATTCCTAGACCTATTTCAATTTGWCACTAATCTATTTGAATTCAACAGGATTTCAGACAATTTGTTCCACTATGCAGATACTTGTCTATGGTCAGACYCCTCTGGTCGGTGAATGGTGATCCGTGATTGGTCGCCGATCGTCGTTAACTATCGGAGACCTGGGTCAACCGGTGTCATAGTGTCAATAGGTAAGGCGACATCAGACACTAGCACTGCGAGACATGCGCAATCGCATCTCTGACGCACTCTGACGAGTGGGTCAACTTAAACCGAATAGAGTATATCCCAGTTAGCACCATATATTATTTAGATATCCTTTTTTTATTCTCAATACATTCTAGATATCCAGATGTATAAATGAATATCCAGTGAATATTAGAATAAAATTAATTAATTTAACATATTCATTAAATATTCTTAATATATTGTTATAAAATTATCTCACTGTAGTTTAGATATCAATAWWTAGTATATGTAATTATTATGTATGTATAATTATATATTTATTCTATATATATGCATAGTTTATGCTCATTTATATTTAATTGTAATAGTCATGGAATTATAGAAGAATAATATATTCATGGTTATAGTTGTTAACAATTATATTATACCATGGTTARTGGTTATGACATAACGTTGGGTCGATCGATYGATTAAACAATTTGTACGTGATAAGGTCGTTTTTTTTACTGTTGACAGTTGTGCTACAGTTAGAACATTTACGTGTTTTAACGAATGTTTGATGAACAATTATTAGTTTACTTGTTACTTACTATTACCCTTTTTACTKTGTGTACCGCGCGGTGAGAATACTAAAATCTATTGTTATTTGTTTTGTTCAATGTTCATTATTCCTTCAAGCCTGCGACTTGCGAGTATCTCATATAATAGTGCCATCTGCCTCGTTTATTCACTAATCCACGTGGTTCATATTTCAACTTTTCTATATAGTAAGTATTTTATACCATCATATTATTAATTTTACATTGATATGGGTACTMGGACTTAATAATTTTTAATTTTTTTGTGTGACAACAAGGGCACCCAATAAGGAGTGCAAGAGTCACATGTCACCCCCTAGACAAATGTGAAAGTATAGTGATTTTTTTTAATTGTAAATAATAAACTGCTTTTATTGATGATATTATACTTCATGACTTATCAAATAGATACCTAAATCGTTTATCTTTGCCATATACTTGTATATTTATTTTCTGTTATTTAATAAGAGCAATTTTGTTGGTTCCTAGCTTTTTTTTAATGATATTGTTACCCTTCAAGGTTTTGATTGATGGGCTTTCTTGTCTGACAATGTATCTTTTTATGTTACCTATAATATATAGTAAAAAACAATACCTACCAAATAATATTTATTTTCCAACAATAGATTACAATTTAYAATACTTAATTTAAGCAGTTGGTCACTTTCAAGCCAATATCTGTGTGTAATTGAGAGTTGTTATGCTGCTAATAAAAAGTTAATGTACATACACATGTAAAAAAAAGTGTAAAATAAATAAATAATATACTAGTAGG